ATTTTTCTTACCACTTATAAAATCTAAAGTGAATCTGATGTGATAATTATATGAAAGTTTAACTTAATATGTTCATTTTTCTTTTTTGTGCTTCTATTTATATATAGTGAAGAGGATTGGGCAAGTGGTGCAATGTTTTAGTTTTGTCATTTGGACTGGTAACGTGAATTCACTTTCATGGTTATTAACTGATGTTTTCCCTACAAATGAGTTCTGCTGGTCACAAGGGAAATTGTCTCTGAGAAATATTGGATGAGCATATGGTTGGTGCTCAATAGGTATTTGTTGAGTTGAGTGAGTGAATGAATAAATTATCACTTGTAGAAAACTCTAGGAAAATAAATCTAAAACCATATTAATGATAGTTGAGTGGAATAATTTTTATGTATGAAAAATTATGTACTAGTGGTTTTGTAGATGCACAATAAGTGTGTATCAAATCAATAAATGAATGGATAACTGTACTATAGTTATATGCCTCACAAGAACTCAATAAATGATTTTTTGTCCACCTCTTTACCACCAGTGAGGTACATCAGATATATACAGCACTATATTTATTGTATCAATTAAGACCTTTTTTTTAAATTTTATTTATTTTCTTTTTCCCCCAAAGCCCCAGTAGATAGTTGTACATCATAGTTTCACATCCTTCTAGTTGCTGTATGTGGGACACGGCCTCAGCATGGCCGGAGAAGCAGTGTGTTGGTGCGTGCCTGGGTCCAAACCGGGGCCGCCAGCAGTGGAGCGCAAGCACTTAACCGCTAAGCCACAGGGCCGGCCCTCAATTAAGACCTTTGATTGAAAACGGCAGAAACTGATCTTAAGAATAAAGGCATTTATTGACTTATGTGTTTGAAAAGCCTAGACCTATGCTGGTTTCAGGTGAGGCTTAAAATAGTAGCTCAAGATTTGGTTTATTGTTCTCTATTTTCCAATCTGCTCCCTTGTAGAGGCTCCATTCTTGGCAGGTTTCACCTCTTGTGTTTCCTATTTGGTTGCTCATGTTCCTTGTTAGACCCAGTGGGAAAGGGCAAGGATGTTTCTTTCCCAGAAGGCTCCGGTCTTATTGGCTCACATTGGGTCCTGAGCCAATCAATGTGGCCAGAGCAATGGAATGTGTTGATTGGCTTAAGACAACTTGAGCTCAGCCCTGCTGGAGGATAGGGGGTGGAAGAGAGTGTCAGCTTCCCTTGAAACTCATGACCTACTTGAAGGAAGTAGAATACAAGGATGAAAATTGGGTTTCTGTCAATAAGAAGAGTCTAAGAAGTCTAGACAACAAATGTGTACGCTGCCTATCAAAGGGAACTAGTTTAGTTGTAAAGATAAGGAAAATATAAATGAAAGAATGAATGAACAATATGGTATTACATAAAACAATACTACATGTTGGTAATAGTTGTTTAATTACATAATGCACAAAAAACGATAGAGGAGCAGAAGGAAGTGTAAAGGAAACAAAATTCTATTGTGCTTTTGTATCATCAGAAAATGCCCCAAATATTTATCCAACATCTACTCTATGCCAGGCCTGGGGCTAGGCTCTGTCACTTACTTGTGAAGTCATTACTCTCTCTGACCTTAAGATGGGCATAACACCCACCCTACCTTCCTCAAAGAAACTAATATATGTAAAAGTATCAAACATATATCACCACTGTATAACACAAAATTGGTAAATTTTACAATCATAAGCTTCAATATCTTTACTTATGCTCTTTCCTTTACCTGGAATATTTACTTCTTAGTTCAGTAAAATACTAGTCCTCATTCAAAACTGAATGGAGATAATTTCTAAAAACTTCTTAGGTATCTATCTCTTTCCCAACTGAGGCAAATTTAATTACCCATTCTGTACTACACTTTGTTCTTACCTGTATTATAATAATTAACATATGATTAGTGACGTGCTATTTGTAAAGCATTTTCAAGTCCATCAACTCAATTGATTTCACAACTCCCTGGGAAGGATATGTTATAACTGATCTCATTTTGTGCTAGAGAGCTAAAAATCACTACCAAACCTTGAGAGACCACATAGTCCCAATGCTCCACTGTTACATGTTACACAGTATTGAAAATGAAGGAAAATAGCCTAATTTTTTATGAAGTAAGTATAACATTAACTCTTAACCCTGATAAAGACAGTACAAAAAGAGAAAATTGCAACACAATCTGCAAAAGTTCTAAATATTAGCAAAAAGAATTAAACTCCACATTTTAAAATAATACAGAATGACCAACTAGGATTTATCTTGGGAATGCAAGGTTATTTCAAGAGTAGAATGTTTATAATATGCCATGTTAAAATTTTTAAGAAGAAAAATTATATGATTATCTCCATAGATGCTGAAAAAACAAGCTCTTGAAAAAAAATCAACACCCTTTCCTAAGAACACTTAAGAAAATAGGAATTGATAAATACTTTCTTAAGATGACAAAATATATATTCCTCAGTCCCAAAGCCAACATCTTACTTAATGGGAAAACACTAAAGAAGAGGAACAAAGCAAAGTTGGCTACTGTTTCCACTGCCATCAACACTGTACTGGCGATGTCAGCCAAAGAATTAGACAAAGGAAATCAGAGGCGTAAGAATTGGAAAAGAAGAAATAAAATTATCTCTATTTGCAGAACTTATGATCTTATACCTGGAAAACCCTAGAGAATCAAAGATAAAACTCAAACTACCGAAGAATTTAGTATTGTAGCAAGCTATAAAATTAACGTATAGACATCAATAGCAACTATTTATAAAACAGATAATCAGGTATAGAACACACTGGTAGAGAAACCCCCATTTACAATAACAACAAAGAATATAAAGTATTTAGGAATAAATTTAGCAATAAATGTTCAAAACCTATATGAGCAAAACTTTAAACACTCCTGAAAGACATAAAAGTAGACTTGAACAAACAGAAAAACATTCCTTTCTTAAATACGAAGGCTCGATGTCATAAAAATGTCAGTCTCCTAAGCAAATTTATAAATTTAACTCCATCCCAATAAAAAATGTCCACAAACCTCATGTAGAAAAATAGACATATAAGAATAGCCAGGAAAATACTGAAAAAAAATGCTACAAAGGAAGACTAGGTCTACCAGACATTAAGACACGCTATAAAGTCTGTGTAGAGTACTGGTATATGTTGACAGAGACGCTGAATAGAACAGAGTCCAGAAAGAAACCCAAGTATATATGAAATGAAAGTATATGATAAACGGAGCATCTCAAACCACCAAGGCAAAGAATGGATTTGTGATAAATGGTTCTGGGACAGCTGGTAGTCATTTAGAAAAAGGTAACATTAGATCCATACCTCACATGTCACGTAGGAATAAACTCCAAATGGATTATGGATGTAATCATAAAAAATAAAACCATCAAGTACAACAAGAAAATATGGGCGAATTCCTCTTTAACGTGGGAAAGATTTCTAACTGGAACTCAAAATCCAAATGTAACAAAAAACAGATAAATGTGACTAAGTAAAAAAAAAAAAAAATCTGCATGGCAAAAAGCATTATAAACAAAGTCAAAAGACAATTGACAAACTGGAAGCAAATATTTACAACGTATCACACAGGAAAAGGGCTAATTTCTGTAATATACAGAAAACTCAAAATTGAGAGTAAAAAGATTTTAAAAATCCAAATGAAAAACAGGGGAAAAAATGGGAATAAACAATTCACAAAAAGACTATAGAAATGGATGAAAAGATCTTTCACCTCACTCATAAAAAGGAAAATGCAAATTAAAACTACATTAGTATATCATTTATCATCAGAATAGTAAACATTAAAAATATATATAACACACTCTGTTGGGGAGGCAGTAGGGAAACACTCTCATAAGCTGGAGGGAATTAAACTTTCTGTAGAGGAATTTTGCAATACCTAACAAAACTACATATACATTTACCTTTTGACCAAACAATCCCACTTCTAGAATTCTACTCTAAAAATAATACCTGCAGTGTACAAAAATACATATGCACAAGGTTATTCATTGCAGCATCGTTTGCTTTGCAAAATAGTTGAAACTACCTAAATGTCCATATATAGGAGAGTAGTTGAATAAACTATGGTACCTACAGAATGAGCACTATGCAGCTGTAAAAAAGAATGAAGAAAATCCATGTGAACTGACATGGAGTAATTTCCAAGGAAAATAAAACTATACACATTTAACTACTTGCTTGAGTAAAAAGAAACATGGGGAGGATAAACCAGAGACTAAAGAGATTGGTATCTACTACGCATGGTGGGAATTGGGTAGAAAGTATAGAAGGAAGGAGGGGAGGGTCATTTCTATGAATATACCTTTTTTTAATAGACCTGACTTTTGGAACCATGTTAATTGTATTAATTTGCTAGGGCTGCCATAACAGAGTACCACAAACTGAGTGGCTTAAGCTATAGCAATGTATTATCTCACAGTTCTGGAGACTGGAAGTCTAAGATCAAGGTGTTGGCAGTGCCACGCTCCCTCTGAAGGCACTAGGGAAGAATCTGTCCCAGGCCTGTCTCCTAGTGTCTGGTAGTTCCTTGGCTTGTGGCAGCATAACTCCAGTCTTCACATGGCACTCTCCCCCGTGTGGATGTCTCTGTGTCCAATTTCCTTTTTTATAAGGACATCAGTCATATTGGTGTCCCACCAGTCCTATGGGCCCAGCCTACTCTAGCATGACCTCATCTTAACTGATTACATCTGCAATGACCATATTTCCAAATAAGTTACATTCCAAAGTACTGGGGGCTAGGAATTCAATATATGAATTTTGGGGGAGACACAATTTAACCCTTAACAGTATTGTTTCACATAGTCAAAGAAGAAAATAAATGAAATCTACAAGGATAGGGAAAAAACCCTAACACTGAATACAAACAGAAGTAAATGAACTGAATTATATATCAAATCAATAACATAATCACACTCAAGGGGGGAGAAAAAAATTACTTCAAACAACTTGTGAACACAATATCTGGATTATTTGCCTTCACGCTAAAGGCAAAAAGACTGCTAAACAAATATTGTACTTTAATTAGTGATCAGAACTTCTTTTTCCCCCAGAAACATAGGTTAGTAATTATGAAACTACTTTTTATGTATTCTAGGATTGAACAAATAAATACATACATATACAGTCGTATGTCATTTAATGATGAGGATACATTCTGAGAAACGCATCATCGGGCAATTTTGTCTTTGTGTGAACATCATAGAGTGTACTTACACAAACCTAGATGGTATAGCCTACTACACACCTAGCCCATATGGTACTAATCTTGTGGGACCACCGTCATATATGCAGTGCAGTGTTGACTGAAATGTCGTTATGCAGTGCATGACTGTATTGTTGATAATGGGAGACACATCTCTCACTATTGGAGAAGATAATGATAAATATGGAAAGAGGAAATGAATAAATAAACCATGAAGTCTGGGACTGGAATTGCAGATATCAGTGTGAAGCCATGAGTACATAAATAGACAAATAGATACAAATGGATATAAATATATATGGGACTGTGTATGTATATGTGTGTGTCTTTGTGCATATAAATGCACACTGTATGTATATGTGATATACGTATCTCAGCATGTGTTTGTGTGAGACATATATATACATATATCTATCCCCAAACTGTCCTCTGAGGTGACTTAGAAGCAACAAAACTCCCATAGCAGTGAGCACACACAGCACCAGATCTTGTTTTCTAAATACCATTCTTCACTAAAAGAAGGCAGGGTTCCTTGGGAAAATGGCAGACCAGGGCTGGATCAGGGAAAGAACAAAATAAGCCTAGAACATTTTGTGATGCCAAAAAGTAAGGAAGTAACCAAAGGAAGACGGAGACATATCAAAAAGACACAGGAGCCAGCTTGAAGGGGCTCCCACTGGCAATCTGAGTATCAAAATAACGATAGTCAATGTAAGGATTATATGCTGTTAATAAAATAAGATTTCATGAGTCCACAGTAAAATAAACAAACAAGCAAGCAAACAAACAAATTGCAGTAAGTTAAATTCTTCCTTATAGGAGAAAGCCAACTCATAAATCTAGAAGGAATGAGGGAATTTTAAAAATCATCATTTGCCAGCCATCATAATAATAATTGATTCATCTAGTTTAAGGAGTAATAGATATCCCACAAGGTTGTTCTTTAATTGCAAAGGGTAAAACATTATTATAGTAGAGAAAACTATCAGATACCACCTTAGACAAATGATCAAAGTTAACACTGCTAGTAACGGGACTAGTCAACGGCATGTACCTCCTCTACAATGCACTGGGAAGAACCCAGCATCACTTCTGTGGCGCTCTTGCCTGAAGTGAATAATCTGAATCTAATCATGAGAGTGCACCACACAAACCCAAATTTAGGGACTTTCTGCAAAACAATTGGGGTCTACTTTTTAAAAATGACAATATCATAAAATTCAAAGAAAGACTCAGAAATTTTCCCAGATTAAAGAGGACTTGAAAAACGTGATCTGGATTTTCTTTTGTATAAAGATCACTATTGGGACAATTGACAAATCTTAATGTGGTCTGTAGATTAGATAATAGCTTTGTTTCAATGTTAATTTCCTAATTTTGATTATTGTACTGTGGTTTCTGGTTTTTAGAAAGTCTTCACTGAAGTATTTAGGTGAAAGAGGGCACTGTATCTACAACTTAGTCTTAAATGTTTCAGAAAAAAATTAATTGTATGGTGTGTGCATACACAAGCACACATACACAGAGATTGAGAAAAGGAATAAGCAACTCTAGAAACTTAACATTTTGGGATCTGGATGAAGGGTCTATGGGAATTCTTTGTGCTATTCTTGCAACTATTTTGCAAGTCTGATATGTGAAAATAGAGGAAAATAAAAAAAGAAAAGAGAGATGGAGAATCAGAGAATTTAAGTGACTTGTTCAAAGTCATACAAAAAAGGCAAAGAAGCCGTCTGGGGCTCACACTCACGCTCTTCACCACACCTCCCACTCTCTGTGATGACATTTCTGTGTGGTAGTAACACATGTTGGAAGAGGGAACGAGCTGGGCTAGCAACCGGATTGTTCATTCCTAAAGAACTTGCTTGAACACCCTGTGAGTCATACTGGGATTCCAAGACAGCCAGCGCAGGGGCAGGTGTCTGAGCCAGAGACATTGTCTGGGTAGCACACCTTGGCCTCTAAGAGCTTGTCTAGCTGTCCAAGATAAAATGTTTAGTGAGGAACACTTGGGACTGGTATTTCCCTCTCCAAGAACTCTGACCTGCTGGGTGTAAGTACCTCCCTCCGGTCAGGAACAATATCCACTCATGCTCATGATGGTGGCAGAGCCTTGATTGAAGAGGAGTCTCAGCAAATGGTTTGGGGTAGAGTGACATGGCTCGGCTTTACAGGTGGAGAAGAATGGCAAAGGCTGGCAGTTGGCACAAGATTTGAGTTCACACTGGGCTCCAATGTTAGTTGGAAACCAGAACACAAACTAGGACCTGCAGGCTGAGGAAGGTGCCCCCTTCTCTGCTTCCTGTGCAATTTCCCATAATTGCACTTGTCATGTTATACTGAAATTGTCAGTATATATGCTTGTCTCGTACACTAGATTCAAGCAACTTAAAGTCAGAGTCTGTATTATTTATAGAACAAATATTTATTGAGACCTGCATTGTGCCAGGCACTGTGTTAGGTGCTGGGAGTACTATATCAGTGAAGTGTTTTCAGACAAAAATCTGCATCGTTATGGTATGTACATTCATCATCATATACTCGGCACATATCCCACCACTCAGTAGGCTGGCTGGAGCACACAAGATGCTCAGCTGCAATGGGCACTTGTGGTCATTAGGAGGAAAGCCGCAGTGTCATGGGCACTCAGACCTGTGAGCTCAACTCAGACACCCTGGAAACTAGGCATAGGTCAGAAGGCTAATCCCAGTCCCCACTCTGGAGGCAATGCAGTTCCGAGGACTACATATTTAGGGCTGCTTCTGGATCTGGAGGCTGAGTCTGCAGGATGACATTTTCACCACCAGCAGTTGGGCAGTGCTCCAGCAAAAAGGAATTGAGGGGCAGAACTCAATACATCAAGGGCTTACTGAAGCTTACAGAGTGGAATGTCAAGGACAGGAGGGGATATTAAAAAGCATGCGGTTAATCCTTTCCTCCCCCTGCCCCCACCTCCATTTTATTCTTTACTCTTTCTTGCAGTAGCTATTGCCTCTGTTTCAATCATACAGGTGACAGAGGAATCACAATTACTATTATTTTTTTGGTGAGGAAGATCAGCCCTGAGCTAACATCCAATGTCAATCCTCCTCTTTTTTGCTGAGGAAGATTGGCCCTGGGCTAACATCCGTGCCCATCTTCCTCCACTTTATATGGGACGCCGCCACAGCATGGCTTGCCAAGCGGTGCGTCAGTGAGTGCCAGGGATCCGAACCTGTGAACCCTCGGGTCAACGCTGATCGGGTGCACTTAACTGCTGCACCACTGGGCCGGCCCCGAGCACTCAATTTACTAACATGAACATCCCATTTTGAGTATCTATAATCATTATCAAGTTCCTCCTTGGGTAAAGCCAAAATTAATCTTCCCCTAGTTTCCTCCTTGGTCCTGTTTCTGTCCTATGAAACAACTCAAGAATTTTAATTGCTTTTTTATAACTTAGATATCAGAAAATCATTCTACAATATTTGAAGACATGCCTAAATTTTCTCTTTATTAAAATAGAAATGCATGCATCTTTTCCTCATTCCCTTCTCTTACAATGGAGCAAGTTTCCTTTCCCTCATCCGAGGTTCCTCCTTTCAGCTGTGCTCTGAATTTCATCCCTTCCCACTGGCACTCAGTTCCCAGTCACTTCTTCAGCCTATTGAAATGGGGTCACATTTCTGCCCCCATCGCACTGCTGGAGCTAGACTAGTGAAGCTCAAGACCTCCTCCAGTGGTACAATGAACAGACCCATTGTAGCGATGATTTTAGGTAAATCCTGCACAGCTGACCATTCCTCACACTTGGCTGCCTTTCCTCCGCCTCCCAGCAGCTCCTCTTCAGCCTCACGGTGGGCTTCTCTTCTTTTGTTCCTTGCTTACTACTAGGTTTCCTCAGGGTCCTGTCCGGAACCCTCTTCCCATGCTACACCCTCTCCCTGGGAGATTTTATTCATTCTCTTCACTTTGCTTAACACTTAACAAGTATACGCTAGTAACTCATAAATCTCTACCTATCCCGGATTACTTTCTAGACCCCCAGATCTATTTATGCATCTATTGGCTAGACTTCTCCAAGAGAATACCCTACAGGTCCTCAAACGACACTTGCAGGATGGAAGCCTCCTGCGTTTCTTGTCAAGCCAGGAACCTGGGATGTCTTTCTAGATTCCTCTCTCTTCCTGCCACATCCCCTACAGATCCACTCATCACCAGGCCATGTCAAATATCTTGTCAGGTCGTTCCCTTGGGTCTGTGTCCACCTCCCTTATAGCTCTAGCTTTGATTCCTGCAATAGCCTCCAGGGTTGCTGCTTCTCATCTGTCCTCTACATTCTGGCCTAAATAACTCTTCAAAATGCAAATGGGGCTCCACCCCAGACCTACTGGGGTGGCTCTGCCTGGATGCAACAATAAAGTGGAAATACCTTCCTGGCAACAGCAAGGCCCCCAAGAGCTTCAGCCTCATTTCTTTCCATTTTTCCATGGCATTCTGTGCTTCAGCCATGTCAAACTACTTCTAGTTTCCCAAATTTACCCTACTCTCTCACTTCTAGGTCTTTAGAAATGCTGTTCCTTCTACCAAAACGATTCTCAACATGCCACGCCTCTTATCTTTACCCCACTTCTTCCTCTGCAGCTACACAGGCTCATCCTTTGCCTGGATGACTCTGCCTGGTCTCAGCTTGGATGTCCCTCCCTTCAGGAGATCCTCTGTTATGCCTTCCTCATACCAGTCCACTGACACTACCCTTTCTGTGCATCCACACAGATCCCTAGTCTCTCTCCATCAAAACATTTGTCACAGTACATCAGAATTGGCTACATTCCTTGCTACACTGTAACCTGTGAGGGTTGTGTTCATCTTATTTACATCTATGTTCTGGAGTCTAGCACAGTACCCACTCTAAAATAGGAGCCAATAAATATTTACTAATTGAAAATACATGGTTTTTTTTAAAGATTTGATTTGTAAATACGTTCTCAAATCACAGAGGAAAGCTTATTTAATTTTCTACAGGAGTAGTTTTCTAAAGGAACATGGGGATTCCATGGAGATGCTTAGGCCTATGACGGTGGGAGGACAGGAGGGGTGGGGCGGCCAGCTCCACTTTTTACTGCTTTGTGTACTGAAGGATTGTTTGGTTTTCTAAAGCTCTCATACATTCAAACACAAGGCCTGTGCCCACATAGCTACATCCTGATCTGGAATACACGGACGGTGTACTAGTTTCCCATTTCTACTGTAACAAATTACCATAAACTTAGGGGCTTAAAACAACACAAATTCATTATCTTGGTTCTGGAGGTCAGAAGTCTGAGACAAGGTTCACTGGGCTAGAATCAAGGATGAGGACGTGGACATCTTTGGGGACCATTGTTCAGCCTACCACAGGTGGGCTGCCTCTAAACTTGTGTGCATGTGTGCATTTTCTTGAAAGCATGCCATCAGAAAGATGAAAGTTGGGCCGGCCCCATGGCTTGGTGGTTGAGTGAGCGCGCTCCACTGCTGGCGACCCGGGTTCGGATCCCGGGCTCGCACCGACGCGCTGCTTCTCCGGCCATGCTGAGGCCGCGTCCCACATACAGCAACTAGAAGGATGTGCAGCTATGACACACAACTATCTACTGGGGCTTTGGGGGGAAAAAATAAATAAATAAAATCTTTAAAAAAAAAAAAAAAAAAAGAAAGATGAAAGTCTACATTTTTCAAAAATTATTAAAAAGAGTCATAGACCCTGCTAAAACATAAATCACATCTCTAGTGAATTTAGTTAAAAAAATCTATTTCAAACAACTTATTTACATACATGTTTTTAGGACCATATCCAAATGCATAAAATACCACTAAAAGTAATTAGTGCAAACTTTTTGGGAGGGTAATTTGGCAAAATATATCAAAGTAGAAAACACACACATACTTTAATTCAGAAATACTGCTAGGACTTTTCCTTACAGACATAATTGCAAAAACAAAAACTAAACCTGCAAAGGAAGATCTGTTATATAACTTACAGTACATTTATACAACAGAACAGGACACAGTTACTATAAAGAATGTGGGTGATGTATAGGGGTGCAAAGAGAAAGACACTCAAGATAAAATATTAAGTGACAAAAGTGCAAGATAGGGTGCAAAGTCTGCTCTCTCTGTGTAGTTTTAGACAGGACTGTATATATGCTGGTTTCCAAACTAATTTTTGGGCGGAACACATGAGAAACCATTAACGGAGAGGGGGATGGCAGAGGCAAGGAAAGAAGACTATCTTATGCTTCTTAACCATGTACGTTTTCTATTGTGGGCATGTATTACTTTATTTTATAAAAGAAGGTCAGAGGCAGTTAATAATAATAAATAATAATAATAAAAACAGTGGAGTCAATAATGTTCACAAGCTTGTCTATACACCTCACACAGTTCTAAGCACTTTACACAGATAATTCTGTTTAATTCTCATATCTCTTAAGACAGGAACATTGTTATACTCACTTGGCAGATGAGAAAATTCAGGCTCATGAAGGTTAAGCCAATTGTTGAATGTCACACAGTTGGTAAAGGGAGCGCTCAGATTAAATTGAGGTCTGTTTGACCTAAGCCAGTGAGTGCTCTCAATTGTGGCTGCTATTTTCATTTTCCTATATTTTTTCATGTTAAAATAAAAATCCTGAGCTGGCCCAGTGGCGAAGCGGTGAAGTTCGCACCCTCCGCTTCGGCGGCCCAGGGTTCGAAGGTTCAGATCTCGGGCGTGGACCGACGCACTGCTTGTCAAGCCATGCTGTGGCGACGTCCCATACAAAGTAGAGGAAGATGGGCACGGATGTTAGCTCAGGGCTAATCTTCCTCACAATAAATAAATAAATAAAAATAAATAAAAGTCCTAATATATATTATCACATATGTTGTAACACTGATAAACACTTTCTCAAACGTCAAAACTAAAAGTATCTTTTTCACTAGTATGTCATAAATCCAAACAGAAATTACTTTATCACAAAGGCCCCCAATTTTTGAGGCTTAACATTTTCAAAATATTTTTAAATTTTTAATGAGAAGCGTTACTCAAAATGACAGCATGGATAAACACTTATAAGGAGGACAATAAAAAGAAATAAAAATGTAAACTGGGAGAAGAATAGAAAAGGAATGAGAAGAAAATTTACGAGATTGTGCCAGTGCTGGTGATTCACAGCTTTGAGGAAATGCTTTATAAAAGTAGACTAGGCTATCATTTCTGACAGCTGTAATTTTTTTCCATTACATGCACTAAAGAAATACTCTATTTCCATTACAGATAGGATGAAGTTGGGGTATTTTTCAATGAGAAGATGATACCACTAAGTCGTATCTAGCATGCTTTATTGCAACGGCTCCCACATACCAGCACCACTCATTTTTTTAGGGAAAATAATAATAAAAATAAATAAGCAACTCATTGTCACTCCAGATTTGCATATAATCTAAAAATAATTTGCCCAAACTTTTCCAGGTGAAAACTGTAACTAGTCCTATCCACTCTATTCAATTTTTCCAGAAGGTTCTGATGTGAGCCATTGATTTAGAGATCACCTTACTTACATGCATCCATCTTTTCTGATTTCTTTTACCCTAGCTGAACCTCTTGGGCTAATTTGCTTGCATTGTTGTTTCCAAATGATCCCGGTGCGGTATTAAGGGTGGTTATCAGGCAGTTCTCCAGAATCCCTTGGTTAAATTAATGAATCTACATGTGGTTGAGTTAGTGGGTTCTGATTTGACAACTGTTGACCAGTTTCTAGTCCATTGCTGAGTACTAAAGGTCTGTGGGAAGAATACAAATGAAGACCCATAGACCATAGAACTACACATTTCAACATTAAAATCAAGCTATCAAACTGTTAAACAAAATGTTTTCCCCTCTATCTTGACAAAAATATCTTAACAACGATAAAACTTTTTTACATATGTAACACATGATTTTTATATAACTGAAAAAGAACATGATTTCAAGAAAATGTAATTTTATTATTATTGTATGTTTGAGTGTCTATTGATTGCTGGTGATGTTTGAGTGAATAACAAAATGAAGTCACTCCTTCATTCATAAATTATCGTATGATTATTCCATGTAATTTATTTCTCTCCCCTTCATTTCAAGAAAAAAATTATGTCATTAAAATTAGGATTTTCTCATACTTTGTGTTCTAATAACAGTAATGCCATATCAGATCACTGTTGTTTTTAGACTATTTTTAATTGGTTTAAATTTGGAGACACTCTTCAGCTGAGGAATAATAAGTGAAATTGTTGATAAAATTTGCAACATATATTTGGGAATGAAACAGAAATTTTACAAAATTTAAACATTATTGGGGCCAGCCCGGTGGCATAGTGGTTAAGTTCACACACTCTGCTTCAGCGGCGCAGGGTTCACAGGTTCAGATCCCAGGCACGGACCTATGCACTGCTCATCAAGCCATGCTGTGGCAGTGTCCCATATAAAGTAGAGGAAAATGGGCACAGATGTTAGCCCAGGGCCAATCTTCCTCAGCAAAAAAGGGGAGGATTGGCAACAGATGTTAGCTCGGGGCTAATCTTCCTCACACACAAACACACAAAATTTAAACATTATTGAAAAAAACTTTATGAAATATTTCATTTTCATCATAAAAATGTCTATCACTTTGTGTAGTGATTTTCACCATCTCTTACAGTAACATCTTCATTAAATTATCATTTATATAAAATTGCTGGGATTTCATTTGATTTATTCAAGTTGTGGATCTAGTAAAAATAATTTTAGTTCATTTTCACTCTTTTGGTCAGTAATTAAATCTGTATTTAATAAAGAATTTATAATGTCCTGCTTGCAAATTTTATGTGGGTCATGTTCAATATAAATCTCACTTTTATTGTTTCCAATTTTTAAAAATTTAAGCAAGCTGCCTCTTTGAACATTTTCTGTTTCTTCATGCTTTTTAGCTTCTTCCTCCCTGAGCTCTACTTTTATATTTTCTATTTCTAGTATGATCTCAACATGAACACATTGTCACTAACCTAAAGGATTAAGAAATAAAATGCAATTATAATCAAAGTAAAATTAATTTGCCTGTATTTTCATTAAAAATATAAATTAAAACTTTGTTTATACATTTTCAAAAATGTTATGTTCTAAAATATTCAGAATGGTATGTAAAAATTAAAATGCAAAACAAAATTATAATGATTAAGACAAATTTTAATGTAAATTATTTAAATGAATCTGAAATTATTTTGGGGGGAATTAATAAAATCTCCTTAAATACTTTCGCAAAAACAAAATTATTTGCAATCTCAGCATTTAACGTCAATCTAGTTATCATTCAAAAAATTTAGATTATGCTTTATTCACGTTATGTCTAGACTTATGTAAATGTAGATATAGATATATACGCAAACAAATATAAGAGTAATATAAACTGTTTAACCTTGCAAAACGTTTCCTCGGTGCCACGTGCAAAAATGGATATAGAAGACTAGGACAGCAAGAACATGGATGCTTGATACCACCAGGAAAGGATACTTCATTATGTAAGAATCTAATGTAGGAATACTATCTGAGAGGAAGGATTTAACAAAATTGGTTAATTTGCCTCTTCTTTTTCCTAAGTGCTTCCACATTCAAAATCCTCTCTGCACTCAGAAGCAGTGTCAGCCACACAGCCCACAAACCTTGACGGCATACAGCAGTGGCCAGTATTTGTCTAGAAGATACAGGAAAAGAGATGTGAAGTGTTTCCCTGAGGATGCAAAGTGTTACTCCAAGAGCAGATGTTTAGGATTATGGGTTCTGCCATGTCAGCACTGAGTGCTGCCCAGATGGCAAGTAACAGAGGTGCCCATGAGCTCTTTCACAGAAGTTTGTGATATGCGGGGCCCTCTGAAGTTCAAGGCCCAGGACAGAGGCTCTTCTTGCCCAAGTCCTAGGGGAGGATGGTTGGGAATCCTGTGCCCATCGTATGACCCAGCCATGACTGTGTCCCTAAGGCCTTTGTTAGGGCTACTGTTCCCAGAGGTACACTAATCAATCACATAGCATGTTTAGGACCAGACACGATGACAAGTGTAGCTCTTCCGTTTATATATGTCTCTGATACACCAGAAATCATGCTGTTTCTATTATGGTGCAACAGTCTGTCTGCCAGTTTCTGCTGAGAGACCTTGGACAAGTTACTAATTTTCTGAGTCTTGGTTTCTTCAGCCATAAAATGGGTTCAATAAAACTACTTCCTAGAGTTGTTATGAAGATTAAATGAGTTGATGAATCATAAAATAAATTGTTCATTGCCTGATAGAGACTTTTTTTCATTATTCCTGATGTAAAATTTATCCCTCCACTCTCCATCCCACTGTTTAACCAATAAGCTCTGTCAATTCTCCCTGACAAACCCTCAGATAAGAAAATAGATGGATTGTTTCCTAAAGAAAGAGATTCTATGCCCAACAAAGTCACTCTACTTGCCCCAAACTCTGCAGGAAACAGTGGCAGCCATTCTATGTCAACCCTAGACAAACAGCCTTCCCGTTCTCCCATGCTACCCCTCACAGCTGGAGCTGCTCCTTCAGCTCTGGCATGACACATGGACACATCCTTACCTAGGGCCTCAGGCAAATGTTCCACCTCTCCTTATTCTCAGCAGATAACCCTTCCTCTTACTTCACAGTGAAAACAGATTCATAAGATAGGAACTCTCAGCCAAGCCTATAAAATCGACTTCATTGTACCCATCCCTGTCTCCACCTTCTCTCTTCTTATCTAAGCACAACCTTCTATTTGTGCTCCTGATCACATTTCCCCCAGTGTCTCATGGATTTCCCAGCATAAATTATCAGACCTCTCTACTTCAGTTTCTCTCTTTTCACTAAGTCCTTTCATCAATATTTAATTATATTCATGTCTCTCTCTTCTTAAAACAAAAAAACTCCCTAGACCAGCCCCCTGCATACGTCTATGCTACGGCTCTTCTTCTACAAGCCCTACTTCTTGAATGAGTTGTCTCTGTTCATTGTCCCAATTTCTCCAACTCCCACACATTTCTCAAGCCATTTTCATCAGGTTCCACTTCACTGAAACTATTCTTACTAGTATCTTCAAGGTCAGCTCCGTGGTGCGAAGGCCAAGTTTTCAAGGTGTTAATTGAACTTGGCAGCATTTAATATTGTTAATCCCTCTCTGCTTCTGGAAACACTGTCTTCTCATGCCTGTCATGGCATTGCCCTTCCTTTTTTTTTTCTCTATCTACTCAGTCGTTTCTTCTCGGTCTCTCTTGCCAGCTCTTCCTCTACTCACAGTTTTGGCTTGTAGCATGATCTTCTAGATACTGTCTCTATGTACCCCTCACATTCTCACATGGCAACTTAACCATTCCCACTCACAAGACAAGACACTGTCAGGGGCAACCCAAGCCATTTTAGGAAGGGAAATTATCCACTCACATCAATGGGGAATTCAAAGGATGAAACTTGGCTCTATCCAGGAAGGTGACTAATGATAGTAAGAATCTGTCCTGTTTTCTCTGTCCCTTAGCCATGCTTTCCACAGTGTTATCTTCATTCTCAGCCAGGCTCTCTCCCTTGACAGTCAAGAGAGCCACTGGCAGCTCTAGACTTACATGGCCCAGGATTCTAGAAGGAAAGAAATGAACATTCTTCTTGTATCCATTCCCACTCTCCTCAAAAGGGTTCTAATAAACTCATCTCAATTCACATGCTCGTCCTGAACCAAGCACAGTGGCCGGGGTGATGGGGTACTTACAGAGTCAATCTGGATTCCACCCTTGTGGTGGGAGTAGAGCGGCGTGAGTGCTGGCCAGGGCACACGAGTGTCCTCACAAGAACTCTGAGGAAGGAAAAGGGATACTGGACAAGAAAACAAAATACACATTTATGACCTATTTCACTTTTTTCCAACAATTTTGCTGCCTATATTTCTAGCTTAATTATGGGTCTCAAGCTCCAGAACTTCATATCCAACAACAGACCTATTTCTTTTGGGAAAATATAGAGGCAAATTAAATTAAACAGTGCCAGACGTGAACTCATTATTTTCTCCCCTACAATTTGCTCCTCCCCCCAGTCCTCTCCTTCAGCAAATTGCACGGCCGACTACGCAGGTGCTCAAGTCAGATACCTAGTGGTCACCTTGGAAGCCTCCTTCTCCCCAGCTAGATATCCAGATCTAACTGATTCTCAGGTGCTGTGACTTTTAAATAGTTCATCTGTCAAAATCATATCAAGCATATTTTCCAAACCCAATGGTGTGAATCTAGAAATCAACTAAACTGTTCATCTGTCCATTTCTTTCAATTTCCTCTACCATGACCCTAATTCAAGCCACCATCACTTTTGCATAGACTTTTTAAAAAGTTTTCTAACTCATAAGCCATTTTTGGTTCCTATTTATTCTCTTCTTCCCTTTATTTTTAACTTAAAAATATATTGATGTTATACATGTACACAAAGTAGCAAAAGGCTTCACAAATTTTGTTATGAAAAACACCAGTCCCCTAGTCATTTTCCCTCATTTCCCTAGAGGTAGCTACCATCACCAATTTTAGCTGATTATTTAGGTATTTATTTCCTAAATAGTATACTGTATTGTTACTTTCTGATCTTTTTCAATTTTAGGTATTTCCTATTGACTTTTCTCTGGAAAGGATGAGGACTTCTTTCTTTCCTTCCTCTGTTCCCTACTCCTACATATATATCTGTGCCATCTCCCATTTCCCCAATACAGCTGTATCATAATTTTGG